GTGAGGTGTCTTGCAGAGGACCCCGGGTCTCGTCTTGTCAACATGGGAGCATCGATCCGGATCGGCAGAAGCCCGGCTCCATCCCCTCCCCCATCTAACTCACCTGGCCAGTGAAGTTAAGGGGAGCAACTAATTGGTAACAACAAGACTGAGTGTGTTTGTGTGTGTGTTTGTGAGTGTAAGTGTAATATATTATATGCATATAATACAGTGTTAATGAATACATGTATTACTAATAAATGTGGAGTTTTGTCTTATTCCCCCTGAAAAGATCCTGTGCAGTACTTTAAGTACAACAGAACTCCCCATCCTCCCCAAAGCCGTGCTCTTGTGACCAGTACATAAACACACTAGGGAAAGCCTCTTAATGTACTTTTGTGGAGGCTACCCAACAAACAGAGCACAGGAGCTGTAATGTACCATTTTTAGAGGATGTAAACATACCTTGGTTTCTGAAAGCACAATTCCCTCAAGGGAAACAGCACTGTCTACTGCACTTACCTTAGTGCTGCACTTACTGCTATTCTACTCCATAAACACTCAGGGAAGCACTCTCAGAATTCTGTATGGCTGTGGTGCTTTCAGAATTTCCAGAAGGTGAGAAGTGATGGATTTGCTGTGAACACACACAGCAGATTCTGGAAGCAAAACATGTACCTCAAAGATCCCTGATAACAGACTGTACATAAAATTTCTCCATTTCAGAACAAAACATTGGTCCATCAGCTCCTACTTCCTGCGGAGACTAATACCCGATGTCTCAGAGGAAGACCCCATCTTTCCATAATACATCTAGGCATTTAAGTCTACCCCTTACTACGGGTATGTCTACACCAGAAACACAACAGTAGCATAGACACTTACTACTATGAAAAAGGTTCTTCCATCACTTTAGTAAATCCAGTTCTCTGAGAGGCACTAGCTGGGTCAACTGAAGAATTTTTCCATAGACCTAGCAGAGTCTACACTGGGGCTTAGGTCGACTTAATTACATCACACAGGGAGTGAAATTTCACAGCCCTAAGCAATGCAGTCCAAGTCAACCTAACTCTGTAGTATATACCAGCCCGTAGACTGCAGTTTTATTAACATTATGCAGATCCTTTTCAAAGCCACATTAATACACATTAAGGATGGGTCCAAAACTTCAGACCTGTACGATTCCAGGTAAATTCAGTAAATCAGTAGAAATGTGTCTAAAATCCTTATTAGGTTATGGATTGTAACTTTTCTAAGGAGCCATTATATAGCAGTGATGTTTGCCTATTCATTGGGAATGAGAAGGAAATATACTGTTTTCCACCTGGTGGGTTCCCAGGCAAAACTGGGTCCTAATCTGTTTATCAGTTTTCAGTATTCCTCCAGCAAGAGGAAGTCCATGTGGCAAGCTGCATCTCAGATCATCGTGTAGGTCTGTAGGGTTGTAAGGTTTCATCAGTAATTTTCTTGGACTGCTATTTTCCTTTAGTAGTTTACAGCTCTAATGAGGCTCTCGGGGATCTTGCAGGGTGAATAACTAAGAAAGAGCACTGCAGCTTCAAACAAACTTCTACTGATAGTTGGATACCTAGGGAATATAAACTGAGATGAAAGAGCCCTTCATAGAACAAGTTGTCAGTATCATGTTCTACCACTTGTAAGATTTTTAAAAATTAATAAAGCACTGGTATGTTGCAGTAACCCATATTTACTATTCAGGGGTGAGGTGAAGAGTTTGCAACTGGGGAAGCTGATTAAAACACTAATGCTTCATCTTAGGATATGGTATACTCACTAGTGAGACATGGAAGAAGCCTGCTGTCACCACTTAAACTAGAGTGGACACTAG